ACTAGCCCTGCAACGATTTAGGTGCCGTGCACTAGCCCTGCAGCAATTTGGATGCCCCTGCACTAGCCCGGTAGCGATTTAGGTGTCGTGCACTAGCCCTGCAAACAATTTGGATGCCCCTGCACTAGCCCTGCGGCGATTTAGCACTAGCCCGGCGGCGATTTAGCACTAGCCTGGCATCGATTTAGGCGCCGTGCACTAACCCTGCAGCAATTTGGATGCCCCTGCACTAGCCCGGCAGCGATTTAGGCGCCGTGCACTAGCCCAGCAGTAATTTAGCACTAGCCTGGCAGAGATTTAGGCGTCGTGCACTAGCCCGACAGCGATTTGGATGTGCACCAGCTCGGCAACAATTTAGCAAATACAAACAGCCATTTCTATGACCCTTCTATCACCTTGGCAGATACAAACAGCCATTTCTATCACCCTTTTATCACCTTAGCAGATACAAACAGCCATTTATATCACCCTTCTATCACCTGTGCATCACTTATGTATCACCTGGTGAACAGTACGCGACCGGTCGCATGAACAGTGATGACCGGTCATTTTGAAGCAGATTGTAAAGGGACCGGTCGCATGAACAGTAGCGACCGGTCTTTTTTTTTTTTTTTATTATTATTTTTTTTAATATTATTTTTTTTAAGGGTAGTATTACTTGTGCATGATGTTTAGTAATAGCTTGGGATCCCATCAAAGCAACTCTACTTGATACTTACTGCTAATTCATTTGCTTGTTTGTTGTGGCAAAAGTTTGCTAAATGGCAAGGAAAACCCCCTTTTCCGAAAAACGTTCCTTCACTTTCCATTAACGGAGTAGTCTTCACCTTCAAATGCTACCATAACAGAGCATTTCTCAAAATGTCTTAACAGTAGTATGGCTTGAGCCACTTTCCGTTGAGCGACTCTCCTTGACTGTGAATGGACCTTCTCATGGTGGTGCAAACTTGGAGGGTCCCGATACTTGCCTCCTTAGATGCTCAGCAGCTCAAAGCACTAAATCCCCATGTTTGAAGCTCTGTGGTTTGATAGCTCTGTTGTAAGCTTGGGAGACTGTCTTGTGGTACAACATCATTTTCTTCTCAGCTTCTGCTCTTTTTTCTTTCAAAGATTCCAAGTCCATCTAGCGCCAGTTTGAGCATGATTTGGCATCCCACTCAATGTCATTGACAGACAAAACCCTGGCTGTGGGGACAGTGATCTCAACAGGGGAGATCGCATCAGATCCATATACAAGTGAAAAAGGGGAGAAGCCTGTGGCGCTCCTCGGAGAGGTACGGTAAGCCCACAGAGCATCTGGCAAGTCAAGGCTCCACCCCCCTTCGTATTCATATACCATTTTGCTCAGAATTCAGAGTCTTGTTGGTAGCTTCAGCTTGACCATTTCCTTGTGGGTAATATGGTGTGGAACACCGGTGCTTGATGCCGTACCCGTTGAGTGTCGAGTTCACTTGCTTGTTGACAAAAGGTGTGCCGTTGTCGGTGACGATCTTGTACGGAATTCCAAACCTGCATACAATGTGTTCTCTTATGAAATTTGATACTGCAACTCCTGTGGCCTTTCGAAGGGGAACTGCCTCCAACCATTTTGTGAAATATTCAATGGCAGTGAGGATCCATATGTAACCATCTGAAGGCGGGTGAATGGTTCCAATCAAATCAAGCCCCCAGGTGTGGAAGGGCCAAGGAGTGCACATGTCTTGTAACAATGTTGGAGGTTTGTGACTTAGGTTTCCATGAACTTGGCATGCATGGAATTTTTTGACGAAGGTATGTGCGTCGTTCTTCATTGTAGGCCAGTAGTAACCTATGCTTAGCAGCTGCTGGTGAAGCCTTTTCTTTCCTGGTGTTCTCCACATTCTCCGGCATGTATTTCCTTCAGGACTTGCTGTGCTTCTGACTCCCCTAAGCATTTTAGCGGCTCCCCATTGAATCCCTTGCGATATAGAGACATTCCATCCATGAAGTACCTTTTAGCAGTTTTCTTCAGCTTGTTTGCATCCCTGGGATTAGTTGGCAGTGATCCCTCAATGAAAAAAGTTATGTACGGAGCTCTCCAATCTTCTGTGAACGAGGCTGTAAGTGTTTTCTCCATCGCAGACATTGTGGAACACTTGGGACAGTTGGCTTGAGTTTCGGTGGCGTGCTTCGTCATCTCTGGCCAGTAGTAGCCTTTGCGTTGTAGGCGCCGGTACAAGCTAACCACTTGATCCAATCCGCAAGAAGCGTCATGCCTTTTTGAGTCTTTCTCGTGCCTCTACTTTCCCTATGCAACGTGCCAAGACACCGCCAGGGAGACGCTTGTATAGTTCCCTAAATATAACCGTGTACTCTTTCAGGCTCTTAATGTTGCTCCCGTCTCTTAGCAGAGAAAGTTCATGTTGAATAGGGATTCTCCAATCATCCTTTTCCAGTAGCTCTTTTGTAGAGATGGTTTCAATTATGGGCATGTCCCTCCTTATTACCGAAATGTTAGGCCGTTCTTTGATGAATGAGAGCCTTGATCCCAAAGTAGCAAGAGCATCAGCATACCTATTAGTATTTCTGGGGATGTGTTCCAGCACAACCTGCTCAAAAGTACTGATAAGTTTTTCAAGGCTGTGCGATACGATGCCAGAACAGGTTCCTTTACTGCAAAACTGCCCTGTAGCTGACTTAGTACCAGGTTTGAATCTCTAATGACTTTGATCTTCTTTATGTCCATCTCTTTTGCCGTGGACAGACCCATAAAAAGAGCTTCGTATTCAGCTACGTTATTTGTGTAGGGGAAATTGAGTTTGAATGAGAGGGCTGTGGCCTGTCTTTCAGGGTTAATGCGCGCCACTCCTGCTCCTTCTCCATTAGCAGTAGAAGAGCCATCAAAGTACAGGGTCCAAGGTTCCTCCCCTGCGACTACTACTACTACTTCCGATAGCTCTCCTGGAATATCCTCAATAAGAGTAGATTCTTCAACCTCAGGAAACAAGGCTAGCATGTCAATCACAGTCTGCCCCTTGATTGCCTTGGGAGTTATGCATGTGATGTCAAATTCAGATAATTGTAAGAGCCAGCGCGCTAAGCGTCCAGACAATACAGGTCTTGTAAGTAAGTACCTCACCGGATCACACTTCACCATGAGTTGTAACTTGTAAGCAAGGAAGTAATGACGTAGACATTGTGAAGCATAAACAAGAGCGAGACACAAGCACTCAGTCTTTGGATAGCGTGTCTCAGCTCCCCGTAATTGCCTGCTAACGTAATAAATAGGGTTCTCACTACCATTACTGTTGTCTTGAGCGAGCAGAGCACCTACGGCAGTACTTGTTGAAGCTAAATAAAGCTTGAGCGGAACCCCTGGGGTAGGCGCCGTCATAGTAGGCAACCTTGTGATCAATTGCTGCACATGTTGATATGCTTCCTCACATTCTTTGCCCCACACAAATTTCTTTCCTTTCTTGAGCAGGGGAGTGAAAGTACCTGTTACGGCTGCCAGACCAGGGATGAAGCACCGTATGTATGATAACCTCCCCATGAAGCTTTTTAGTTCTTTTGGGTTGGCCGGCGGCATGAGAGAACTTATGGCCTTAGTCTTGTCAGGATCAACATCGATGCCTCCCTGGTGTACTAAGAAACCTAAAAATTTGCCCGCTGAAACATCGAATGCACATTTCTTGGGATTCATCTTTAAGCCATATAATCGACATCTTTCCAGTACCTTTCTTAAAACTCCCAGTGGCCTTTTCTTGTTTTGGACTTTACAACTAAGTCATCCACGTAATCTTCCACCTCTCTTCCCATCATATCATGGAACACCGCTGTCATGGCCCGTTGATAAGTAGCTCCAGCATTTTCGAGACCAAACGGCATAACCGTATAGTAAAAATTCCCATATGGCGTCCGAAAAGCTGTTTTCTCTGCATCTCGTGCTGACATTTTTGTCTGGTTATACCCACTGAATCCATCCATGAAAGATAACAGACCCTGCCCAGAATTCTTTCAACAGGCTTACAAGTTTTTCTTTTTCTTTGGCTGTCAAATGAATGCTGATGGAAATGGGCTTCTGGATAGAAGGATCTTCACTTAAGTTGACTATCTCTAGTTGCTCTGCCACGGCCGTGGAGCCATCTTGCATACATTTAGGTGCCAGCATGGGTTCTTGAAAGGTAGAAGGGGTAGGCATCTCCTTGATTCGTTTATTGCACATTTGCTTTGGAACTCCTCCGGACTCGAGGCCCTCCCACGAAACGTGGTCTGGCCTCCAAACCCGTCATAAGCGGTAAACGATGCGTCCGTCCGGTAATGTAACTTTTGAGCATTGCGGGGGGGTATAAGTATAATGATTGACTTCAGGGTGCTTTGGCCTTTCTCGATCCACAATGATCATAAGCTCTGAGTCACTAAGATCACGGATTTCGGCCCAGTCAGGTAAGTGTGTCCTAAAAGCTTTGGATCATTGCTTAGGCTTCCTCCATGTTCCCATGTGATTCCCAGGTAGCGTCCGGCGGCTTAGGATCATTGCTCTATAATCCATCATCATTCATCAAATCATCAGAACACATGATTACAACGGCTATCTCTTTCCCTCTTTGTTTGGGTAAGAGATCATCATCAATGGCTTGCTTCTTGGAAGGTAACTCAAGAGTTCCATTGTGTACCTTGGCATGCAAGATCTTTCGTAGAGCCTGACAGGCAGTGGTTGGGTGTCCCACATATTGATGGTAGCGGCAGTATCTCGGGTCGTTCTTTTCTTCTCTGGTAAGGACCTTTTGTGGTCTTGGCGGTTTGATGACTCCTTCTGCAAACATCGTATCCAAGATAGCATGGAGTTCCTCATCTCTGTACGGCAGCGGCGGGTACGTCTCCCTTTGTCTTTGTTTGCGTGGGTTGAAATCACTTGAGGATTTTTCATCTACAAACAAAGTTTGTTGGGGTTCCTTCCTTTCATTCCTCCATGTTCTTTGCCCGGCGGCTGGTCTGACAGACATGCTTGTTTTCCTCACTGCTTCCAAAAGTCTAGAGAACTAGTTGATTCCAATGTTCTCAAGATATACCCTGTATTCTGGTACAATGTTACTTATGAAAATCTCAACAAGCGCCTCTTCATCTTTTTCATCATAACAATCAAGAGCTAAATCACGAAATCGACGAACAAAGTCCATAGAGTTTTCTCCAGGCTTTTGGCGAGTGTTATTGAGTTGGGTCGTAGTTACTCGTTCCTCATGCTGGAAATATTTTCTATAGAACCTGCTTGCCAAGTCTTCCCATGAGCAAATAGAGCCCGGCGCCAAAGTAGTATACCAAGTATAGGCACGGTTTGTGAGACTCTTCGAAAATTCTCGAACACGTAAGTTATAATCACCAGCATAAGGTCCCAAAGCATCAACGAAGCGACTGATGTGCTCCTTTGGACTTCCTTTCCTCCCATCAAAGAGGATAAAGCTTGGAGTTTCATAGCCCTTAGGATAGGGCTGCTCGAGTAGGCTGGCTGGATACGGCGGCTGAGGGACGTATTTCCAATCTTCATGGCTTCGATTCAACTCTTTTTCCAGCAAGGGAATCACATCTTCATGGGTGACAAAGATGCTTCCTTTTGCTCAGATCCTCTTCCGGCATCAGCTGAGTTTTCTAACGGCGTCTTTTCGCGTTGCTCTTCATTTTTGTCATTCTGATTGGAAACAGAGTTTTTCAACTCTTTCATCGTTTCAATGATTTCTCTCTGTGATTTACTCATAGCATGGATGGCTGCGATGAGCTCTGGGAGTGTGTACTCTTCTCCATTTGTTGGTCTCTCCTCTTCACGGGATCTGTTCCCTCTTGACGTCGAGTCACCGTGGTTTAACTCTTCTTGGGAGGCCACAGTGTTGCTTATGGTATTCTTTCTTGGAGGCATTGGAGAGAATGGCAGCCTAAGTCCCTAGAAGAGTCGCCAATTTATGTAGGGGTCTTTTTTGGTTATGACACTCAATGCAAACTTTGGCCGTCGTAAAGAGCTAATTGTGATGCCCCTTTGCCTGAGTTCAAAACCAGGCCCAAAACACTCCGAGAAAATGTAGATTTTCAGGGAATGCTCTGTTTCTTCCCACCAAGAAGGTGATGACTGTGGTAAAAGAATTAGAAAGTTACGCTTGGCTTGAGAGGCTTGTGATGCGGGAGCTAAGTTTCCACAAGTTTAGCGAGAGAGAGAGAGATTGATAGATTGCAGCTTGGGTTGGTATCAAAGACCTTGCAGGAATATTGGGTGATGGGGTGATATCTGAGGCTTTGAAGGATATGATCATAGGAGAAGGTTAAGTTTAGTACATATTTCTGGGTTTCTTGGTGTTTTTCATCGTGTTTCCTCCCGGGTTGTCTTTTCCTTTGCTTCCTTGCCCTTTTATACACCTTGCGAGCTCACTTCCCCATATGCGTACACTTCGATATCAAGGCGGTCCGGCTTGCTCTCCGGCTTCGAGGTGGTCGTTTCCTTTTGGTCGTTTTGCCTCCCAGCTGAGATGACATAACCTCTTCATTCTATGTAGGTGCCAGGTAATGAGTTATTCTAGGTGCTGAGTAGTTGGTTTTGCTGTCGTATGCTTTGTTTTGCCGCTGGGCCTTTGTTTTGCTGTTGTGCCTTTGTTTTGCCGCTGGGCCTTTGTTTTGTTGCCATGCCTTTGCTTTGCTGTCGGACCTTTGTTTTGTCGTTGGGCCTTTGTTTTGTTGTCGTGCCTTTGTTTTGCTGCTGGACCTTTGTTTTGCTGCCGTATGGGTATTTAGGTGGGATATGGGTAGGTCGGAGGAAGCGACCGATCTCAAGGGATGAGCGACCTGTCGTTTTGAAGCAGATTCGAAGAAGGTGGAAATCGCGGCCAGCGACCAGTCGCCAAGTGCAAGCGACCGGTCTCTTTTAGGCAGAGTCTTCAGCGACCGGTTGCTCCAGCTGTGCTGTTTTGGATTTTCGACTCTGTGCAAAAGCGACCGGTCGCCCAGTCCTTTCGACCAGTGGCCCAGAACGTGCTGGTGCTGGGCTTTTCTTTCTCTCTGCTTACCCATTTAATGACTCAAGAAAATGGGATTGGGTTTGGTGCCCAGCCCAAAGCCTCCATTTTTGAGCCACTAATAGGCCTTGTGTAACTTGTAACCATCCACACCACAAACCAATCAGCAAGCCCCATGCGTGTAATTAAGTGGCTTGGGCCCACTTAGGCTTGTTGCGAGATTTGACACAACAGGGAGTTGCTTGGCATTGCACGTTATCGTGTGCGTATGCTTGGGCTATGTCGTATTGCAGTGGCTCGAGCTTTGTGTTAGATAATGCTTGACAGTGCAGTGGGGTAAGTGGGCTTGGGCCTACAAAACCTTGTAATTCTTACAAGTTTGCATGTGAAAGTGGTAAACTCACACCACTGCCTCCCCACGTGCCAAATTGTAGCTTTGCTTGGCATGGCATGTATGCACCGGCTAGGCCGTTTTTATAGCATGATAGTGACTGGGCTTTAAAATATGCATGGGCCTTTCCTATGATTTTTTGGCCCTTAACAATGCTACTCCAATTTTGTGTGATAATACTTCAGCAACAGTAATAACAAAGAATCTAGTACATCATCACAAGACAATGCATATAAACAGGAGGTTTCATTTTATTCGAGATGCTTTGCAAGATGGAGAGATTGATTTGTTGTATTGCAAGACAGAAGAGCAAACTGCAGATATTTTTACCAAGGCTTTGGCCAGGGATCGGTTTGAATATCTAAGGAGCAAGCTTGGAGGAATTTCAGCTAAACACTTAGAAGGGAGTGTTGAAGTATAAGTGTGTTAGCTGAGTATTAGTGTTATTTTGTTTTAATTGTATTGAATTAATTGTGAACCATTGGATCACAGTCCAATGGACAGCTAAGATGTATTCTTAGTTTAAGTAATGAATTCTGCCATGTGTTGCTATCTCATAGGATAGTTAAATTGAAGGGCTAGATTTGGATGATGTAATTGGGAATATTCTATTCCCAACGGATATATTTTGGCTGCACAGTTTCTGCATGTGTAAGTGTGAGACAACAGACTCATTTTTTTCTCCACTTTCTCTCCAAGTTCTTATTGGATAATTCTAAAACTTCTTCTTCTCTGCATTTTCATTTTCCTTAAGATCTTGAGCTCCATCTACCAAAAATCCAAATTAATCAAATCATAGTCTGAGTATTCTAACATAGATTGCATCTATTTGATATGAATTCCGCTCAAAGTAATTGTGGTTGAGATAGGAACAATTCTCAGCCATCAGGTTCATGGCCTGAGCTACAAGACCATTGATGGTGTTGTTGGAAATGATGGTCGGTGGATTTGGATGGTGCTCCAACGCCTCGCTAGATTGTGAATGTTATATGATATATGAGGTAGACAGAATAATAACCGGGATGATGCTCCGGCGCCTTGAAAATCAAGAGTCGGTTAATATATTGATGAATGGAGGGATTAATTTTACCACTACTCTTAGAAAAAGATTTAAAGATATTAAAAGGACAATAAAAGATAAATTTATACCTTGGGATGCTTTGGCTAAGATTTAAAGATATTAAAAGGACAATAAAAGATAAATTTATACCTTGGGATGCTTTGGTTGGTGCTAGACTCCTATTCCGTTGCTTGGGGTCTTGTATTTTTAGAAGAAGCTGGAGCTTGCAAATGGAGAAATCCACTTGGAGAAGTCCATTTGAAGAGGAAAGCCACGGTCGTGGCTTACATGGCATGAATTATTGTAGTTAGTGGGCAGTTTGGGTAGCATGGGCAGCATCTGGAAATGGGAAAGGTAGCACTCATGAAGGATGTCTGTCGCACTATGTTTTGGAAGTAACACACGTGAAGAACAAACCCACATGGCTTGGAATATGTGGTTCAATCAGAATTGGAGGTGAGTCCGCTCGGTTCAATGGCAGCAATGATGGGAAATGGTGAGTCTTCTCAGCCGAAAGTTGATGATTTTGTCCCCACCAATTAATATTTAATGCTACCCATCATCACAACTTGCCCACCAAATGATTATTTTAATCATATTGGTGCCATCTTTGCTTCTCCTCGTCACATTCTCTTCATGCAAAGCCACCGCCTTCACTTTTTGCTTGAATATTCAAATAACCCACTTGCATGAATTATTGGCTTCCAGCATGTACGCACAGTCCTCTCCCAAAGACTGAAAGGTCACTGACCTCAGCATACTTTAGCCATGGTCGTCGACAAGTTATCAACCGGTCAAACTTCCACGTCATCCAAACTCCTCGGGCCCAAAGCTCGGTTACCGATCTCTGCCGTTCAATTCGGCCGTCAAACTCGATCGTCAAACTTTGGCGATCAAGCTCTTCGGTAGACAACTTCTAACGGCCAAACTCCTCCATGGCCGTACGTGGCCTTTCTTCTTCATGCAAAATGACCTCCAATTTATGCAGCCTTGTATTGGGCAAATACGTGATAATTTTTGGCATCAACAAAGTGAGAGCAGAATGGCCCTTCTTTTCACAGATTTGACACACCAATGTTCGATCAGACGAAGAAAAGGTAGCTGGATAAAAAGAACCAGGAGATGGTGTAGGAAGAATACCACGGCCATTGGTGAAGGGACGAGGAGTATTGTTAAATCCAGAAGAAGAATAGTTACCACGTCCACGACCTCGAGAAGAAGGTCGAAAAGATTGACCGTGACAAGAAGTAGCATGATAGGCATGAAATGGTTCTTGAGAGTGAGAAGAACCACGTGCTTGACGTTTGAGAAGAACAGCCTCACGACTAAGCAATAAGCCATGCAATTCATCAGTATTGACACGTTCAATACGAGTTTCAATGGACGTGACAGTAGAATCAAATTCTTCTGGTAAACCACCAAGAATATAGGCCACCAAGTCAGATTCAGACTGTGGTTGACCAGCAGCAGCAAGGACATCAGCAATTTCCTTGAGGTTTTGGAGATAAACATCCATGGAAGAACGTGAATCGGCATGAGAAGAGAGATGCGGAAGATCAGGGAGAACATGCGAGGAAGAAAGCGGAGCGCCATTGTCAATAAAAGAAAGCATAATTGCAAGAAAGTGAAAGAAAGCTAGTGTTTGGAAGCAGAGAAAGGGCGAGAAAGAGGAAGAAAATTAACAGAGAAGTCGCAAGACGAAGGGCTCTTGATACCATGAAGAGAAATGGATATTCTGTTTTCATTAACTGTAAATAATCATTTACAAAAGACTCTTTTATATTTTTAAGAGAGAGAAAGTTGAACTCTAAGCTGTTATAATGCCAGTTGTACAGATTTGTTATTAACTAACTATTTCTAACTAATTGCTGACAGCTCACGTGCACATCGTGTGAGGTGTGTGACTTCTTCACTTCTATTCGTCCTTAGCCTGCTAGAAACGGTATAAATAACCAGAGACTTAAATATATCGAGATACATTTTCTTCACCTCGAATTCATATTATTGATTAGTCTCAAAGTCTAATAGAGCTATTTGAGGATCGTTGGCTAAAGCCACATGGACCTAGGGTATAATATTAATATTAATAAATTTGACTTTTTTATTTAAAATTAAAACTCGATTTTTTATAAGTAAACCAATGACTATGATTCAACTAAGTAAGTTACCTAATCGATCTTAATCTGTTAAATTTAATATATTTCGGATCCCTACAATCCTTGACAGAATGGGATACAAATTTGTTAAGCTCATAATTTCATACATATGCATGCCCTATTTACTTACTTCTTTTGCTTAGTTTCTTAGATTTCTAAGTTATTTGCCTCCCTTTGTGTGTTTTGTAGGCAAATAGGGCAAGAGAGCATAATTCATGCAATTCAAGCATGTTAAGGCCTAATTTGGATGAATGGATGAAGAGCTTAAAAGACAAACTCATTTTGGCTACAGCCCCCTGCCAGTCCAGTCCCGTAGGTCATATTGCAAGCTTTGTTTCAGCAACCTACACAGCTCGGATGAGGCAGCATCCTTCATGCAAGTTGTTCCAATGGGTGTGTGCTATTACATATCCAAAATTCAGCCCCATTGGATAAATATGGAGTCTGTTACCTAGCAAACACAGAACCATGCTCAGGATGGATTTTTGTCAGCGAGCAAAACGAGTTAACAATTTATTTTGGCCTTAACTTCTTCATCCGAGCTTGGATTGGGCCAATACTTGTGTGCTTGAATCAGACACATTCTGAACTTCAATTTGGAGTGCTTAAAGTCATCATTTGCTTAAGAGAAGCCCAATTTGTAAGCCCTTGAAGTTGCTGGTCATGCTGACCTCAGGATGAGCTATTGTTTCTGGTTGGAAGCTTGGTCATAGTGAGCTAGGCATGAGCTATTGTAGCTGGTTGGAAGCTTGGTCATGGTGACATGAAGATGAGCTAGGGCTGCTGGTGGGATTTATTGGTGAAGTGCATCAACCAATTCAGATTTTCTAATACAAGTGCATCAACCAATTCATATTTTCTAATACAAGTGTTGTATGCATTAGCCATATCAAATTCAGATTTTCACTTCCCCTAGGCCTATAAATAGGGATGTTCTCTAAGCTTGTAAACACACCCCAAGGGGGGGAGCTCTCAAACACTTCTCTAGAGCTCCCTTCCCTTC